TGTGTCATATGCCTTCTCAAGGTCAAAAAATATGGCAATAACTGAGTGGTTATTCACAAAGGCATTACGAACATACGTATCCAAGCGTAGTAAGGGGTCTATGGTAGATCAGCCCTTATGAAAGTCATATTGGAGAGACTGTTGTATGTCTCTAAATACCACATTAAACACATCCAGTTCCCGAAGTGTAAAAGGCACATTATACTGTTCTTCTCCGAGAGAAGAAAAGTCTAAGGGTACTAACTCTCTGTCAGACTTTGAGGAAAGAAACGAGGGGCATAGATGGAGCCCCCAGGAAATATGGACCAGATGAGTGCCAATTTCAGTGGCAACATCAAGAGTGTTTGCTATATCAACACCGGCGACCTGTAGAACAGGAGCTGGGTCATGAGAGTATTTACCACTCAATTTACTCACTTTTTTTCCAGACTGCACTCATAGAGGAAGCAGAGGTGATGGTGGAAACAATCTTGCCAGCAGTGCGTTTAGCGTCATGGATGACATGGCAAGCAACTGCACGCTTCTAGTTAAAATCAAGAAGTCTCTCATCAGTTCTATTGTACTGGTACCTGCCCCATGCAGCGCGTTTCAAACGTACTGCACGAGCACAAGCAGGAGACCACCAAGGCACGCACTTCTGAGAATGCCTGCCTGAGGTTTGGAGTATAGAACGAGAAGCTGCGGTTAAAACTGACATCGAGAAGAGGTGTAGGACCTCATCAGTGGAGGATGAAGAAGGAACCTCACTAAAAGCAGAGAGTTGCGGGTAAAGGTCCCAATTTGCCTGATCAAATTGCCAGCGAGGGCTACAGAAAGGTGGTGAATATGAAGGAGAAGTAAGAATGATTGGAAAATGATTGCTGTCATGTAAGTTGGATAGAACAGACCAGGTGAAGTCTAGTGCAGACCGATAGATCAATGCAAGAGAGAGTATGAGTACGAGGATCAAAATGGGTGGGAGTACCCGTATTTAAAACATGGAGGGGGTGAGAGGCGAGAAAAGCCTCCAACTGGATGCCACACAAGTCACAATGAGACCCCGCAGAAGAAATGGTGGGCATTAAAATCGCCAAGCAACAAAAGTGGTGGTGGTAAGGATGAAACAAGAAAGACAAAATCTGGGATAGAAAATGCCTGAGAAGGAGAAAGATATAAAGAACATATTGTAAACCACTTATTCAAGTGGATATGGGCTGCAGTGTAATGCATCGAGGTATGGACAAATAATTGACAGTACGGAATATCATTGTGTAGAAGAAGGGCACTCTCATTAAAGGTCCCATCTGAGAAAGGATCCGAAGAATACAATAAATTATAGCCTGAGATAGGTTGGAAAACAGCCGAGTGTAATATTGGTTCTTGTAAGCAAACACCAACAGGGGAAAACCTGGAAAGCAACATCTGAAGCTCACCCCAATTACCCCTGAGGCCGTGGATATTCCACTGTAAATAGGCCATGATTGGCAACGAGGAAAATACCAGGAATCTGTAGGGAAGGGCACCTACGGACTAGAGGGGTTAGAAAAGTCTACGTGTGGTGGCATCGGAAGACGTTCGAGCAGCAAAGGAACGGAGCGTTGCAAAGAATGGAATTGTGGAGATGGAGGAGAGGGAAGAGAAGGAACAAGAAATGGATCAGTGTCCATTGAAGGTTTAGTCTCTGCAATATATTCTGAAATAGCGTCAAGTGTTTCTGAATTCAAAGATGTTGTATGGGAGACAATATTGGAGATAGAAAGAGGAGGGCGAGTAAAGATTGGGACAGTAATGGACTGTACTAAAGTAGGGGGGACGAAAGTGTGTTGGGAACTGGAGAAGAAGTGTGGGAGGGGACAGACGAGGCAGAAACCTGGGAGGCGGCAGAAGAGGGAGAGACTTCGGAGGGGACAGGGGAGGGAGGCACAGAACAAGGAGGGGGTGAACCTCCACACTTGTAATAGAGCCAGTGAGAGGGGAAGAACCAGGTACAGAGACTGGAAAGGTAAAATGTGGTGGAAGAAGGGAAGGAGGGGGAAAGGAAGATTTGAGCAAAGGGGATTTTTTGGACTTCTGAGAAGTAGAGGGGCGATTGGTAGAAGGTGTCGTACGAGATCTTGTCGATACCGGGGCTTGTGAGTGAGAACTCGAAGATGTCAGAACAGACTGAGGTGTTGAAGTAGGGACGTCTGAGCCCAGGACAGCAGAAGAATTAGATACAGGAGTGACTATGGGAGGGGTAACAACAGAGGAGGCTGCAGAAGATGGGATCCCAGAAGTGGGGGGACGTTTTGAAACACGAGAATAAGAAACACAGGGTAGTCTCCCTTGGAGGCGGAGATGAGAAACTGCCATAGCATAAGGGAGACCTTCTGCTTCTTTGAGGCAACGGATTTCACACTCATTTAAGTAGACCTGGCAACGGCGAGAGTACAAAGGGTGAGCATCATGACAATTAAGGCAAGAGGGAGGTCGACTGCAAGACGTATTAGAATGGTCGTCAGCACCACAGACTGGGCATTCGGCTATAGATCTGCAATATTTCACTGGGTGACCAAATCACCAGCAATTTCTACACTGTTGCAGTGCAGGGATCACCTTTCGAACTTGTAACCGATGTCCTGTAACATAAACAGAGGACGGGAGTTCACGGCTGTCTAAAGTTAATAGAGCCACATTGCAAGGGTATCATCTCCGCCCGCGGGCAGGAAGAACATAAGTGTCTACTTTGAGGATTGGGAGATCCTGGAGTTCCAGCTGTTCAAGAATGTCATTGCCACATGTCTGGAAATTCTGTTGGACTATGGTATGGGGCAGAATGACAGTACCATTACAAGAATTGAGAGAATTTTTTCAATAGTGTTAGGTATAGTATTGATATGTGAAAGGAGAGAAAGATCATGAGCTTGGGTAGCATTCTGGACAGTGATGACGTGCATACCACTTTTGAGAGCATGAAATGAAATATCTCTACCAACATGGCATAAGAGCACTTTGCCAATACTATGGTCAGAAAGATAGGCAATAGAAGAAGTCGGTCCGAAACTGAGCGTGGAGAGGGAGTGCATGACGTGTCGGTCTTTTCCGAGTAGAATGGGAAGGTAATGAAGTAACATCATCGGGAGATTGTCATTGGCATTTAGAAGTGGGACCAGAGTTGGTCCAACGTGGGACGGGCTGACGATTCAAAAATTGCCACACCGTAAAGGCCGGAAGCATAGTCAAAGGAGGGCGGAGGTCAGACAAATTGAAGGAGTCAGTCGAGACCCCAGTACCTGAAGCTGGTGATGAAACAGCACCAACAAGAGGTACAGGGGCATCAGGAGTGTCCAAAGAGTGGTCAAAAAATGAGGCAGGGTCAGAATGGGGTGCGGTATCAGTAAGGGGCCTGGGGGTAGCAGGTTCATGGACTAGGGCTTCCATGGCTAGGTTACTTCTTTCTTTTTGTTTTTAAGAAAAAAAAGAAAGAAAACAAAATAAAAAGAAAAAAAGAAAAAGGGGGAACGGGGAGGAATACTTCCTAGGAGGAATGAAAGGGCCGGAAATCACCCTCCACGCCCAAGAGGACCTCAACACCGCAAGTAGTGCAGATGCGGCATGGAGCCCGTGCCATACCCTACCCTTCATGCCAGTAAACCAGCAATTCAGGATAGCAACCTCACATCTGCCGAACTACCTTGGTGGACAAAAGAGAGGGCAGCCGGATATCTGCCACAAAGCATACCTCCTTTGGCCATCACCCCCGGAATCCGAAAGGCGCCCTCCAGAGATAGACCCGTCGCCTGAAAGACACCCAAAGCCACCCCCCCAGAAAACCGGAGAGGGAACGGGACATCCCCAGGCGATCCAGATTCCATGGCAAACTACACCACTGCCAAGAACCTCAATGGAATGGGATTGACCCCGGTACCCTTCCCCCTACCTAGGAACCAGTAGGCCTGTGGGAAGAATCCCAAAGGCTAAAAAGAGGAAGGGAATAAGGGAGGGATGGGGGGGGGAGGAGGAGGAAAGGAAAAAGGGAGGATGGGATAGGGAAGGGGGGATTGGGGGGTAATTAGGTTCGGTCTGAGGAAGGAGACCAACAGGTCTAATTCCTCAGACCAAGAGCCTCTTCAACATGCCAAGGAACCCCCCTTGAAGAGGCCCTACAGGTATAGTGCTTCCCCCATGGATTAAATAATCAAAACCATGTCAGTACCTAAGCCAGCCTCAGAGACAGCAAAGAAAAATGAACACCATTAATGAGAGAACACTAAGGACAGAAGAGAAGGAAACAAATAAACGCTGATGAATATGGGTGAGACCAGTGGCAGCTCATAGCTAAAATTAGTGGAGGTACTGCTTCAGAAAGTTTTTAGCCATTGTTTTAATATTCTGTAAAACAAAACAAGCATATAAAAAGAAAATTTATACATAAGCTTGATAAGCATGATAATAATTAAATCTACACTTTATCACATTCAAGAATATAGTACATGGTTTATAAGCACAACGCACGTTGTTGAGTCAAAAAGAAACACTACCTTACACTTGCACAACAGGGTTGGCACTGCATCAGCAACAGTGCTCTCTCTACCTAACAAGCAGAGTCTTATCTCGGACATGTGCGCATGCACACAACAGCCAAACACCTAGTTGTAGAAGTATAAAGAAAGAATTTAAGTAAAAAAAGACTCATTATATTCAATGTTATCAATAATATCGAGTGAAAATAGGTGCTGCTGCAGTTCTGCAGTGCCTATACACGAGCCGCCACTGGGGGAGACGAAGAAAATTATTAAAACGATAAGAGAGTAACAATAGCTGAGCAAAGGAAAAATACAGTACTCTTCATGAGAAAAGGGGGGAGGGTGAAGAGAGTAACTGTTGTTGAAGGGCTTTTTATCTAGAGAAATGGAGGTACATTTCTCTTCCTCGGATCAAACATTATTGCTTCCTATTCTCTAGGTGCTATACGACCCTTTCATAATAACAATGGAAAAGTTTATAAAAAATATTTCTTAACCACAAACTCCTTGACTTACAAAGGGCGTTTTTTGTATTTCCTTAGCCGTGCCCTTGATATAGGTGAGGAGGAGGAGTGGAGTGACGACCATGGAGAGTATCAACACACCACCACAGAAGACGGTGCGTCTTTTGTTCCCATAGGAGAAGTTGCTGGTCCCCTCGCAAATACTAAGAGCCACGATCGTCAGGGCCTGAGGAGGAGAGAGAGTGTGAGCTGTGCCTGTTACAGTGAGCATGCTTCCAAGGCGAATAGAATATTGTGATTTGATGATTTTATTTACTGTAACTATAATATGATTGGTATGAAGGGGTTCAGCTATACCCCTTGGGTTTAGATGAAGTTCTTGGGTTTAAAGTTATTTTTGTTACAGAAGCAAGGGCCCTACATGGTTTCATTAATATGTCATTCATAATAGTTCTTACAATGATGATGACATCACTTTCTTTCCCTTCACTTCCAGCTGGTTTCTGGTGTGGATCTTGTTAAGTCAGTCCTATCTGAGCTTCAGGAAAAACCGTGAAAATTACAGTGGAGCCTTGGCACTGAACTTAATTGGTTCCAGAAGCTGTCCAAGTGCCGATTTGTTCGAGTACAGAACGAATTTTTCCCAACCAACTTCCTTTCTGGTTGGCTGCTATCACTAACCCTTTTAGGCCCCATGGTGACTTATTTATACAAATAATATAAAAAAAAAACACCAAAAATGCAAAGAAACACGAAATATTTTACAGTGAAGTTCTGGCAGGTCATGTTTGTTTGGTCGAGTGCCGAGCAAAGGGTCGACTACTGAGCGATTTGTTTACCAAACAAAGCATTCGAATTCCGAATTGTTCGAGTATGGAGCTGGTTGAGTACCGAGGTTCCACTGGAGAGGGTTTCGGGGGTCAATGCCCCTGTGGCCCGGTCTGAGGCCAGGCCTCATGGTGGATCAGTGTCTGATCAACCAGGCTGTTACTTGCAGAATGTAGGTAATTGCAGTTCATTTGTGCGAAATGGCTGGCACTGATGTGCAACAACAGAAAGTACAACACTCAGTCGTGTCATATAAAGTCGTAGTCAGAAAATGACTACTTCTCATGAATTCTGCACACATTCTAGCTTTCCTGTCAAAGACAGGCTAGTCAGTGAATTAAACTAGGGATTTTTAAACAACTCGTTTAACATACTAAAGAGTTCATCACCACTGAATTCATTTCTACAAAATTCTTGTAGTCTGTAGATGGCATTTAACTATGGTTTCAGAGAGGAAGATTTAGGTATTCAGCTTCATTAAGTGGGACTTCTGCTTGAGAGACAATATGGCCATAATGTCACAACTCCATTGAATTTACTACTATACTCATACCAGGCGGGAGAAATGCATGATTATACGTATACACTTGGAAAATCCTCGAGGGATTAGTACCAAACTTGCACACGAAAATAATTCCCTATGAAAGCAAAACACTCTGCAGACGATGCAACATCCCCTCAATGAAAAAGTAGGGCTGCCACTAGAACGATAAGTCAATACAATAAGTGTCAGGGCCCCAATACTGTTCAACTGCCTCCCCGCATACAAAAGGGGGATTACCAATAGATCCCTGGATGTCTTCGAAAAGGCACCGGACAGGCACCTAAAGTCAGTACCTGATTAACCGGGCTGTGGTTCATATGTTAGGATGCATGCGACCAACAGTAATAGCCTGATTGGTCAGGGCCTGATCCACCATGAGGCCTGATCACAGGTCAAAATATATTTCGCCCAATATCTCTCACCAGCTGCCTAGTATATACTCGGTCATTAACCAGGTGCCATCAAGGCACCTGGTTAATGACCAGGCTGAACGTTAAAGTGTAACTGACAGCTGGCTGAAGTTTGGACTTATACGAGGGTTGATACATGGCGCTTGGAAGAATGACTCTTGACCAGCTCTAGAAATTTTTATGAACCACTCGCCCTATACCAACTGAATCAGTCAGGTCCCTCCTGCTTGGCACAAGACTATGAATTGAAATCTATGAACAGGGTAAAAAGAGAACTTCTACCTGATCCCTCATGTGTATTAATTGTACCTGAGGTTTGGTTAGTCTTGGTTTCGTGGAAAATTCAGAGCAGAACTCCTATTCAGTAATGTCCTGCTAAATGCTGATCGGTCGTCGTATCTGAATGTCATCAATCATTATAGGTAATATTGCGCTTAACCAACGCACCGGCAATAACCACAAGATCACAGTATCCCCTCCCTTCTCTGAGTGTGAACTTCCACTTCGGTCCAGGAAGTTTATTTAATCTCAATGACTCGGAGAGATGTCAGAGCACACGATACTTAAGAGGTGCAACATTTGTCTCACATTAATACATGCAGAGAACAATATGAGTAATCTGGAGTTCTACTCGAGTAACCATGGGCAGCCATAGTTGTGTCTTCTCTTGATCTTGACGTTCCTTTAAATCCCTCCCCACTCTGTGTCCCAATAGGTTATTAGAGTTTTTCACAGGTACCTTGTGTATGTGTTTCGACGCTTACCCAACCCGTCTACCTTGCCACTCCTCGCCAAGCTACTGGGTAGCCCTGGTACTCTCACTACCTCTCAAAACCTTCCTCTCACCAACCTATTTTTCCCTTGTCACCACTTCTCTGCTCACCCCACAAAGATCTTACCTAATCTGTATGATCTATAGTCTCGATCTTGACACGAGATTGCCCACCCCAGGGTCATCAAAGTCACCCCCAGCTCAGATGCTGGTGATATTGCCAAGTACTGGCAATAAAGACGACTACTTAAGAGCTCTTAACACGTCAGATATCAGTCACTGTGACAATAAAACTCGTCAGAGTTCTATGGTTTTAGTGACAGGTTTCATTTTTCTAATAGTACAAGGGCCATATGTAAGATAAATGTAGTAGATACGGCACTACCGGGCCGCGGGGATCAATGCTCAGTCTGTGACCAGGCCTCGTGGTGGATCAGGGCCTGATCAACCAAGCAGGAAAGAACAGTTAACCCCCCACTTCTTCCCTACTTGACAGCAAAGGAACTAACAGTCACACTGACCTCTGAGTTAAGTAGACATTGGAGACGAGGAAAGAGGGTTACTACCCTATCATTAGAATATTTTAACATACAGGGGATTAAAAATTCCCCACAGTTGCTTTGGTAAAACACTTGGAGAAGTACATACTTATAACCATAACTTTTAAAGGGCTGGACGGGTAAGCCAGTAGAAAGCCTTGGTCAGATCCAAAAGCTCCAATGGGGGGTCATGATATGACTAAGATCCACGTCAAGAAACACTTGTCCTATTTCCTGACTAATCTTATCTAACCTAACCTAACATGAGTGGCTGAGTCTAAATCGTCTCATGCATAAAATCAAACAATTTCCTTCTCCCATTCTCCATTTGTTCAGACTTCCTACAGTAAATATATTCACCATTCACTATAAGCTAAAGACGAAAATATTTTAAGGTAACTAATGTGTGTACTGGTTATGCAATTTGAATGTGAAAATGAAAAAATAAGCTGTTTATTTTTACAGCAATTTTAGCTGTGCAGCAGCAGGACGGAACCTAACCTGCTGTATAAGCGCGCTCCGCATGTATATGGTTTTCAGCATGGAAGAAGTGTGTATCACTGTATAACCACCTTTCTCAACCTGCAAAGAGACAGCTTCTACACTACCTTCCTTGACCTTATATCTGTATTTTATGTTGCTAACCAACATATTATCATTAGTAAACTTCCGGTAGTTGTGCTAGAATGAGTGTAGGAGGATGGCTTCTCTGTTGGATTAAAAACTTGTGAGCTCATTACCTTTGTACCTAGTTCAGCTATCAAAACTTTGGGGGCCCAGTCCCTGGACCCATTACGTACCTCTGTAATCTGTAAATACCTTTGTAACTTGTCATGATTGTGACCAGACCTACCTGGAGTTCATTACCTTTGTAAATTGTGAGTTCATTACCTTTGTAAATTGTGAGTTCATTACCTCTGTAACTTGCTCAGCTATCAAAACTTTGGAGTCCAGTCCCTGGACCAATTATGTACCTCTGTAATCTTTTGACTACCGCCCACAGGATGGGTATGGGGTGCATAATAAACATATTAAACTAACTAAAACTGTTGGATTAAAGGCTACCTGTCGAACAGAAAGTTTTCTGTGTTGTTCCTAAGGCACTGAAGTGTAGCCAAAGATACTGAAATAAGAACCCCACAGACAAGTACCCTCAATCCCATCTTATTCAGTACTCTAACTTAAGTAACAAAAACATATACTGTAGTGGGATCAAATTAACCATGCTTTAAATGAAACAAGCTGGGAAGATATCCTAAAGAACACGGATTCGAACCTCTGACGTATGCTCAAGGCACATTCTCCTAAGAAAAAAGAATAGATGTAAACTAGAAAGAGACAGTGAGATGCTCCCTCCATAGGTGAAGGCGAAGAGTCACAGAGCTGCTGAAAGGGGTCAGTATATCTAAGATACAGGAGGAGGTACTGACAAGAGAAACAGAAAATATTGTACTTAAGCTTAGGGAATCATACAGGCGCTAAGAAACACAGGAAAAATTTAATCATTAATTCAGCTATCAGAACTTTGGGGGCCCAGTCCCTGGACCCATTATGTACCTCTGTTTTCTGTAAATACCTTTGTAAGTTGTCATGACTGTGACCAGGTCTACCTGGAGTTCATTACCTTTGAAACTTGCTCAGCTATCAAAATTTAGGGGTCCAGTCCCTGGACCCATTATGTACCTCTGTAATCTTTTGACTACCGCCCACAAAATGGGTATGGGGTGCACAATAAATATATTAAACTAAACTAAACCCAAAATGAGTCAATGCTCAGTGAGCCGTTAATCGGACCTACACGAATTTTTATGACCGAGACTCAAAATATGTTTAATTCAAGAATTTCGGATATATCTCTAACACCACAAGACTTCGAAAAAAAAGAATAAATGACATGCCCAAGCACTCTGCCCCAGGCCCAGACTCGTGGAATTCAGAGTTCTTCAAACACTGAAAGAAACTCCTTTCACATGTCGTAAATATTCTATGGAGAGGGAGCCTAGACACGGGTACCATCCAACAATCACCTAAACCAACAGTTATAGCCCCACTTCACAAAGGTGGCAGTAAAGGAATTGCAAAGAATTACAGACCGATAGCACTAATGTCCCACATCATAAAAATCTTCGAAAGGGTTCTAAGAAGCAAGATCGCCAACTATCTGAATACTCATCAGTT